TCTAAACTGAGCTAAAGAGTATGGAAGAAAGGATGATTTTTAGAGAAGAAAAAGAGTGCTATTTATAGGTGTTTTTCAACACCTTTGGCCGGGTACCCGACCGGGTCAAGTACTCACCCGACCGGGTCCGGTCAAAATCAGATAATCTGCCACGTTCTGGTGATCTTCGCACGTCGTTTTGTCCCGGGTCACATCTGACCCGACCGGGTCAAGTAGGGGACCCGACCGGGTCCAGTGACTTTCTTGGCAATTTCGTCTGTTAAATCCTACCCGACCGGGTGGGGGTTTCTACCCGGTCGGGTTTCACTCCTGGGCAGTCAAATTTCTTGTTTTCTTCTCTTCAAAGTCTTCCTTTCCAACACCACAAATCCTAACTATACTTTACAACTTATAAATAAAGAATAAAATACAATTACGACTGAAATTACATAAATGTTTACAAACCAAATAAAACGGTAAACAATACACACAAATCAATCATAAAAATATACATTTATGCACTACTAATTAGTGCATATCAACCGCCATAACAATTGTTAAGGGTACCATCTTAACATTTAGAGACCTTGCAACCTAGGTAACAATAGTTCTATGAACGACAAAATACAATGCTCATGGTTTTCGCTAAAAATTCCTTTTTGCAAAATCTCTCGTGAGAGGTTGATTACATAGTTTAGAACTGAGATGGCTCTGATACCACTTAATTGTCACGCCCCACACCGCATCTAGGCGCGTGTACAACCGCCGTATGATCAAGTAATGCCACTCGCAAGTCAACGTGTCTTAATCATACAAGGCGTCCATGAACATAATATATATCCATACTCAGTAGTAAACATTCACAACAACATCACAATTTAGATTAGTTGAATAACAGAAATATTCAATAATCAATCGTGGGCCACACATGGCCAAAACGTAGGCTCGCAGGCCAAAACAATGTATTAATACAAAAGTATCCATGAGCATAGTTTATCTTTTGAAACAGTAGAGGGAGCACGAACAACGTCTTCCTCTGGATTCTCTTCACCCGTGCATGCGTGTAGATGACAAACCCCAGCTTCAACCTGAAATGGTGGGGCCCCCCGAAGGGGTCAATACAAGTACCGAGCAGGTAGCAGGCTAAATATAGAATAACTAGCGTTTTAAGTATAAGACCCAAACATATGGTGATACTTATATAAATAGTCCTTTCCCCCAAGTTATGAAATACTTAGTAGTATATATACACTTGGAAAATACCCGATCCGTGGATCACAGTTTATTTGGAAAAATAGTAGTAGCCAAATATCTTTGACTAAAAACCCCCAACCCACCCATTTACCTATGAGTGTATAGGACTCCTCCTTGTCCATATTCCAATATCATAATCTATGAGTTTTGAGGATCATAATCCTTGGATACTCCACCAATTATATTTGAGTGTTAAGGACTTTTAGTCCTAGGTCCTCCACCAATTTATTATCCGAGTGTTAAGAACTTTAAGTTCTAGGGTCCTCCACCAATTTATAATCCGAGTGTTAAGAACTTTAAGTTCTAGGGTCCTCCACTAAAATATGAGTGTTAAGGACTTTTAAGCCCTAGGGTCCTCCACCAAAATATGAGTGTTAAGGACTTTTAAGTCCTAGGGTCCTCCACCAAAATATAATATGAGTGTTAAGACTTTAAGTCCTAGGGTCCTCCACTAAAATATGAGCCTATGATTAACCTCCTATCAACCTAGATAGGGTCTATATCATATCTATTCATTCATAGCTAAGTCCATATGTAAAACTTATGGATCATAATCCATGCAAAACCATGCATTCATATAAATTTATAATTAACTAATACCAACCGGTATTAATTAATCGATTATCCATTGGTCAACGTTTTCGTTAACCGTCGTATCAAGCCTTGTACGTATCAACTTAATCATCATATAATTAAGTTAATAATGTTCTTTCGTGCTCCTCTTACACTTAAAGCAAATATGCATTTTATATAATTCCTCATAACATATTTCATGCATAAACAATTAATTCCTTTCATACAAACTTAACCATGTTGGCTAATCACATGTTTAAATACCTTTTAAACATAATTATGAACACATATAACATTTATTTAGGTAATCTCATAATTAACCCAAAAGTTATAAGATATTAAGCCGTCCACTCACCTTAAATGAGCTATATCGTGTTCTACGCTCCTCGGTTGAACTCCGGCGAAACTCCGGCGAACTCCGGTGAAACTCCGGCAAACTCGAGAAACCCTTTAGTCAAGTTCCTAACAAGGTTTTCTCATCATAAAACCCATATTAATACAAATAACCTCTAAAAGGTTATTTTCTGGCGAATCGGTCATTTTGGCTTCTAAGTCCGTCCTTGGACTTAGAACTACCTTTCAACCCCTTTTTCTACACTTCTAAACATGTATAACAATCATAGGGGTACTTCATATGGCATATAAGTCATATGAAAATCAAAAGATGGAAGAAAAGTTGTTAAGGAGTTCCTCACCTTTATTCTCAAGGTTTTTCTCTACTCTTGCAACTTCTTCCCCTCCCTTGATCTCCTTGCTTGATTGAGTTCTTCTCAACGGTGGGGAAAGCTGGATTGAGAGCTTCTTGCTCCTGATTGGAGTGGGCTGGCCGAAATTATCAAGGCAAGAAAGTGGGGGTTTCCTATTTTTGTCTCAAAGGCATGAGTGGTGTGGGGGGAGGCCCACCTTTTTCTGTTTGATGCCTTTTACCCCACCCCTCTCCATTTCAACCCCAATAACAGTCCGGCCAACTCCCAGATTATGTGACCAAATTTATGGGATGGCCCCCACACATGTGGGAGGTCATCCCTTTAAACCCTGAACTGTATATTCGGCCTCGAAAGTTGTATTTTTCGGACTGTTTTAATTATATTTTATTTTATCGAGTCAAATAAAATATATTATGTGCTCTTACTCATTATGACATTTATAATGAATATACATTCCTAACTTTTAATTTATAAGCCTCCGAAATTCATTTCTGGGTTGTTATCTGTTAAATTGTCGGTACCAATATTTGGGCCTCTTTTGCCCAATCGGTCAACTCCGGGTCTTTCCACGACCCAAATAAAATATCCACCACCATATAAATATTATCTTCACCAAGATGAATAAAATATGTGGTCTCGGGAAAGTTGGGTGGTCCCCGCACCGATGTGGGTCCCACGTGCAATTTACTATTCACGCGTTAGAGTTAATAAAAATTTACAACATAAATTCATTGATCATCCCATAATGTCTAATACAATATCACTAAGAAGTAAATATAATTCGGGGACGGTGTTACATAGAGCCCATTTGATAATACTCAAATAGGCTGAATCGGCTGATTCTGTTGAAATTTATGAAGTTTTGACTGAACTAGTTGTATTAGCTGATTCTGCTGATTTATGAAAGAATCATATTTAAAATATATTTTATTAATGAAATAAAGAAAAGATTATATGAAAAATAGGTAAAATGGTCATGTAAAGTTATTATACAATTCAACTTGTAAAATCAAAAGTTACGTGTTTGGTTAAAAAGTTGACTGATAAGTCTGTTAAACCAAAAAATAGAGTCACCAAATGGGCTTTTACACGTGATAGAAAAATCATTTTCTACTCCTATTTTTTTATCGTCAAAATAGATGACTTAAATTGATATCACACCATTGAGATAGGGGGTAAAATGACAAAAGGCACAGAAGCAACCATCAACCCTCGAACCAGAGTTAGAGTCAATCACCTTCAAAAAACAATATGACTCGTTGATCCTATAATGAGCGAATGAGCCAACGACGGTTAAAGCATGCCTCCCATCACTCAATCCTAATGCTAGAGTCTTACAACAATAAAAGTAGCCAACAGAAAAAATAAATATTATGACCATGAAAAATAAATACTCTCTCCATCCCAGAATTATCTTCATACTTTCCTTTTCAGTCCGTTCCAAATTTATCTCTTTTTTCCCTTTTTGGTAAAGAATATGTGGTTCACAACCATCCTTACACATTTCTATCTCCTCTGTATAACTCTCCACCACACAAATCCCACTATCTTAAAACCCGTGTCCGGTCAAAACCAGAGTTAAATATGAGACAGAGGGAGTAACAAGCAAACTGTAAAATTAAAACGCCGCTTCCAAACCCTAGACTCTCCCGCACTCCATGGCGGTAGTTCAGGAGGGGGACGATCCAACAGTACTATAGCCGTTTCCTCACCTTGCCTCTTGTTCATCATGTTCTCTACCAAACCTCCTATGTCACCACCTATCACGAATGACTTCGAATCCAGACCTGTTCCAACCTCTAGCCCCACGCTTCGTCCACGATCTTTGGCTGCCAGAGACCAAGCATCTGTCTTCCGTCCTTGCACAACCTTCGACCGCTGGAGACCAAACATCCTCTTCCCTCCGCTTAATCTCGCCAAAGCAAAAAAAGAAAAGTAGCCGCACAATTGATGGCGGAAGAAGAAACCTTGTAAGCCTAAGCCCGCCTGCGACGACCCCTCCTTGTTACAAACGATAGCGGAGGAAAAAACCCTAGCTGCAAAAACCCACCCTAGAAAGCCTTGTTTGTACCTTGTCATTGAATTGTTAGAAACAATTTTTGTTCTGCTCCTACTTCTAAAACAGAAATATCACGAATTTCACTCCCTCAAATTAAAACAAAAATAATGACTATGTATATAGTATGAAAAATATTAGGTGTACCCCATGTGTAACAAATAGTACTTATCCGCCTAATTGCATGTGTACACACATAATTTATTTAAAAAGAGGCAATATTTTAGACCAAAATATGCGGTACAATTTGTGTACAAAAATGGGATACACCAGTAATAACCCATACAATATACGGTCCATGTCCATAAAATTATTTTAAATTAAAAGAAAAATGAAAACTAATAATCTAATCTTTTAACTATTTCTTACCTCAGTCTCACCTTTTGATACAACCTTTTTATAAACAATGGATCGAACAAATAAATAGCGAACGTACTTTGTGTCATACGATAGATATCATTTGCACGTTCACCCTTGTTTTGGGTCCGATATTAGGGTTTGGGCAACGGGGAATTGCTTGTGCTTTTTACATGGCGGATCGGAACAGCAATTCTGCGCTGGTGGTGAAGCCGATATGGGTGAAACACGCCGAGGAGGCTAAGTTGAAGAGTGAAGCGGAGAAAACCGCGGCCGCAAAGGCTGCCTTCGAGGCTACTTTCAAGAATGTCGATCCCTCAACCGCAGTGGCAACCGTAGCTTCGGACAGCGACTACGAGGAAGAAGAGGACGAAGACAGGCTTGCCAAGAAGCCGATCGGACCCCTGGACCCCAACAAGTGCACGGCGGCTGGCCCTGGCATAGCTGGCGGCGCGGCGTGCGCACCCTCCACGTTTACAGTTGTTACTAAGGACGCTGACGGTCGCAAATTGCTCAATGGTGGGGCGCAGGTTAGGGTGAAGGTTGCTCCTGGAGTAGGAGTTGGCGGCTCCGAACAAGAGGGGATTGTTAAGGATATGAATGATGGGACGTATAGTGTGACCTATGTTGTTCCCAGCAGAGGAAATTATATGGTGAATGTGGAGTGCAATGGAAAGCCAATCATGGGCAGTCCATTTCCTGTTTTCTTCAGTACTGGTATTTTTCTGACCTGTATCTCTTATCATTACCTGTAGATATAAATATGTATACCTGCTTTTGATCCTGATGATGATAATTTGTGCGTTTTGGATTTGTAAAGGTTTGATTTTTACTATATGGCTATATATACATACTGTTCTTAATCTTTTTACATTTAATAAAAAAATTGGAAAGTAAAAGCATAGTTGCGCCATGGTGGTGAGTTATTCGGTTGATTTTTGTAGAGTAAAGAAACTTTCTTGTTCTTCTCGGTTCTTGGAGCATATTAGTTCATCCTATTACTGCTGTGGATACACTTCTTCTATTAAGCACATGTTTTCTCCTCAAGAATCCTTTATTAAGCACAAGTTGGTTTTTCAAGAAGTACCAAACAGCTCTAGGAAATTCTACAGACTTGTTGCAAATACGTATAGCTTCAGTAGGTCAAAGTTTCTGAGTGCTACATATGCTTATTAATTCATAATTTGATTTTAGTTTGATTTCAAAAAAGTATAGGTTAAATTATTTAATAGGCCCCTTTACTATTCCAAGTCTATCCCCTAAATCTTTCAACTCAAAGAGTATCAAGTGAGCGATATGGATGCTTACTAGGGCTAGCAATACCACATACGGCACCTCTCCCAAGCATCTATTCTGACATGCATGCCTTTGCTAAATTCCTAGACCTTGATTACCTGCTCCTACCAGGCTACTGCTGACTTACCTCCTTCCACAAGTCCACAACCATTATTTCTTCCACTAATACTTCCACTTAGCTCATAGCCCCGCAAGTTACCTATCCTCCGTGGTTCCTCCATCCTATATGTATCCAACATCTCAAGCATCAATTAATAGATTCATGTGATCAATTTATTTATCTTGTGTTCGAAAGCATTACCATATTCAAGATTAGGGGTGTTTGAATCTATTATTTAAAATTGCTTGAAACAAATATTTGAGTGTTTGGGTGAAAGTGCAGAAGTACTTCTGGGTGCTCCAAATTGTTTAAATGTTGGGGAGACTAGCTTCTGAAAAATTGGTTACGGCATTGCTTCTACTTTTAAAAAAGAAGCAGAAGCAGAATCGATTTCAAACACCCCCTAAGTAAACTTTGTGTAGGTTTCAAATTTGTAAACCATAATTGGCAAACCAATATGGGACGGAGTTTGTATTCTATAACCATTATTATCACTTATATTGGCACTTTTATCTGCAGCAGTTCAGATCTGAAATAAAAAAATATAGGGTGCCCTATTATTAAATATCATCAGTCCTTAGTCTTTCCATGAACAGTTGAACATTATAAAATATCATCAGCCCTATTATTAAATATCATCATTTCATTTTTTAAAATATTGAATTGGAGAGTCATTTTTTGTGACCAAACAGTCTTTATTAACTCCACTAATTATCTGGCATGTGGATGCAATTTTACTTTCGTGTCATAATGATTTTGAACATCTATAACTTACTTCAAAATGTTCGGCTGTAAATTATTCATCAGTCACAACCTATGTTGCATGGAAACGTGAAAATCATAAGGAAACGGGAAAACGGGAAACGTCAACTTTTGCTCAAAAAATGCTTATTTGGAAAGTTTCCAAAGGGTTTCTGAGAGTTTCCGAAACGGGAAACGTACTCTTTCCCGAGAGTTTCTGTGCTACATAGGTCACAACGTATTGTGTGTGGCCGTGTGGGTCTAAGTTTTCTTTCTTCTATGCATCAGGATCAACTACCGGAGGGCTATTGGGTGTTGCCCCACCAACAATATATTCGAATATGATTAATCAGACAATGCCAAATATGCCAAATTACTCTGGCTCTGTTTCTGGAGCAGTCCCTGGGTTGCTTGGGATGATTCCAGGCATAACTCAAGGAGCATCAGGCGGCGTCATTTTACCCGGAGTTGGCTTTTCACTTGGGGAAGTTTGTCGTGAATATCTTTATGGACAATGTGCCAAAACTGATTGTAAGTTTAATCATCCACCTCACAATCTTCTAATGACCGCTTTAGCTGCCACCAGCAGCATGGGAACACTTAGCCAGGTTCCTATGGCACCTTCTGCTGCTGCAATGGCTGCCGCTCAGGCAATTGTGGCTGCACAAGCACTTCAAGCCCATGCTGCCCAAGCACAGGCTCAAACGAACTCTGCAAATGACACCTCAGGTACCGTTCACTCTCTTTATCTTATTTTTATTTTTATCTCTACATCTAAAATTAATTTAATTTGAATCAGATTTTTTTACATTTACCAATATTCAATAATGTAAAGGGGAGGTCATGTTATTTTTCATTCGGAAGTACGGTAATGTCTTTATTGGTTTTCCTTAACTAGATTATTTTAGGCTTGCTGTAGAACTGCATAAATGCAGATTCTATCACTTCAGTATGGTTACATATGGTATTCTAAAACAAGTATTCTTTGTCTTCATTCCTCTATTTTTAAGTATTTCATTATTACATCTTATGATTGCATGTACTGTTTGCTTCCATTAGGATCTGCTGGGAAAGAGACAGCGGCCAATTGCCTTAAGAAAATTGTGCAAGTTAGCAACCTTAGTCCACTTCTAACTTTGGATCAGTTGAAGCAACTCTTTGGGTTTTCTGGAACAATTGTTGATTGTAGCATTACTGAGTCGAAGCACTTAGGTTACGTAGAATACTCTAAGCCAGAGGAAGCAACTGCTGCTTTGGCGTTGAACAATATGGAAGTTGGCGGACGGCCCTTGAATGTTGAAATGGCTAAACAACTTCCTCCAAAACCAGTCACTTTAAATTCCTCCAGCACATCATCTTCTTTGCCCTTAATGATGCAGCAGGCTGTTGCCATGCAACAGATGCAATTTCAGCAGGCTCTCCTAATGCAACAAGCATATACTGCTCAGCAGGCTGCCAGTCGAGCTGCAAGCATGAAGAGTGCTACTGATCTTGCAGCTGCTAGAGCTGCAGAAATAAGTAAAAAACTAAAGGCTGATGGACTTGTCACTGAAAGCATGGAAACATATGAGAAATCCAAGTATGTTTTGTTTGTTTCTCCAAAGTTTTTTGTCTGCACAAGTTAATTGACATTGTTATTCCAGAGTGTCACGCTTCTGTTACATGTCATCATCTCCAATTTATTATCCTGTTAACTATAATCAGTGTCATTTAGATCTTTAAGTCTGTAATTTCTCATTATCAACAAAGGAAGTTCTGCTCGTTTAATAATAACACTGGGAAATTTAGCTACACCAATAAAATCAGTGCTTTTCTGTGCACAGAGATCATTCTAAGTGTGCATCAGTTCACAACCACGCTGGAGCGGAACCGTTAACTGGGTTTGCAAAAAAACATAGAAACCGGAAATCGAACTGGACATATTGCTGGTTTTATGCAGAACCGAACCAGTTTAACTAGTTCAAGACCGGAACTGGAACAAAAAACCAGTTGCTAATGTTTTTATTACAAATATACAACTAATATTTTGGTTAAGATGGAGTATTTATTATGGAAAACATTACTACTATGACTTGTGTGTGTGTATATATATATATATATATATATGTATCACTCACTCACTCATTTTCCTTAGTCATAGTTCTAGAGAGAAAGGATTGGAGCAATTTGAGTGTAGAATAGTAAAAATTAGTTATTTTTATTATCAAAGCAATAAGAATAAATGGATAAATAATAACATTAGGATAATTTATATAACTACTTATACTTACATTAGGATTAAACTATGTATATATTATATACTCCCTCCGTCTTGAAAAGGTTGGCCAAAGTTGACTTTCACGTGGATTAATAAAGTAAAAACAAGGAATTTTATCAATTCAGGATTCGAAAGATAGATTAATTATCAATTCACGACCCGAAAGATGAAACGTATCAGTATAGGACCTGAATGATGGAAAACTATCAATTTAGGACCTAACGTTTCATAGGTTTTGATTTATTTAATTTTTTATTAATTCCATTACTAATTTTTGATAAACTTTTCTTCACAAAAGATTATTAGTTTAATAAAACGAAATAATATTTAAAATTTTTTAATAAAAAAATTTATGACAACTTAGGTCCTAGATTAATAGTTTTCAATCATTCAGGTCCTAAATTGATAGTTTTTCATCATTCGGGTCCTATATCGATGCATTTTATCTTTGAGGTCCCGAATTGATAATTAATCTATCTTTCGGGTCCCGAATTGATAAAATTCCTAAAAACAATGTGGTTGAAATTTGTGCAGAGGAGAGAGAATTAATTTTAGTCACATATTCCTTACCTTAAATGGAAATGACAAATCTTTTTGGGACATCCAAAAAAGGAAATTTGGCCAACCTTTTCGGGACGGAGGGAGTATATTATTATCATTATTTTTTTATTGTTATTGTTATTATATTTATTATTTTTAACTACTTCGTATTATTAGTATTAATTAATATATTTCAAAATATAGCAAAATTGATTCAACCCGGTTCAAACCGGAATAATCTGGTTTTACTGGAACCAGACCGGGAACTGGAATTGTGATTTTTCATATTCGAAACCTGGACCGGTTAACATTCCGGTCCGGTTTCGGTTTTTCTGGCATGGCCCGGTTCAGTTTTCCAGTTTGAGCCGGTATGTGCACACCCATACATGAGGCTAAGGCTGACCACCTCGAGGTCCGATTTTGCGTTTCAAAACCTTGCATATGTCTATAATGTTGTAGCGAATCAATTTAAGGAAATAAAAAATTCTTCAGCAGTGACTAATATTCATGTTGCATAGGTGTTCATTTTCCACTCTGTTCTTATTTCATGGGTTTTCATTAATTTATTCTATGTGATTGATGTCCATTCATAGGTCACCACCTGACACTCAAGTCAGGTCAACGTCTAGGTCAAGATCCAGATCCAAATCCAAGTCCAAGTCAAGATCTCCCATCAATTATAGACGAAGGAGAAGATCTCGTTCCTTCTCCCCTCCACCAAGACGGTTAAGAGGGTATAGATCCAGGTCACCAATTAGGTCCCACCATTTTTCAAGATTTGAGGATGAGCGCCGATCTTATAGGGATAGTAGGTATGCCAATGACAGAGGTAGAAGGTGGGATTCTGGTAGATCATATAACCGCCGGTCACCTGTCTCAAGGAGAAATAGAAGTAGGAGTGTAACCCCTCGAGCTAGAAAGTTGTATAGGGACGATTCAGACTCCCCAAGACACCGTCATGAAAGTCCAGTTCACAAGACACGTTATTCTCGTGCTGAGTCTACGTCTCCGGAACATCGAAGGAATAGGTCATCCCTGAAGAATGATGAAAGTAAGTCCAGACATAGACGACGGTCAAGGTCAAACTCTGTGGAAGTTAGTCATTCACCCAGTGATAAAGTTGGTAATGATAAACATGGAAAATCAAAAGACAGAAAAAGGAGACACTCAAGGTCAGTTTCACCACATGATGATCTGGATAGACAAAATAGATTGTCCCCTAAAACCTACGATGAAAAGAAACCAAAGCAAAGCCTGCATAGGAGAGAATCAAGGTCCAGATCACCAGATGCAAAACGCCATTCAAATAGAAAGAGAGAAGATAAAGCTCAAAATAATGACGATAGAAGGATATCGAGGTCAAGGTCAAGGTCTAGATCCCCAGAAGGAAAGCATCACACAAGTGACAAATTGGATAGAGAAAAAAAAGAGAAATCTAAGCATCATTCTAGAAAGCGTTCCATATCTAGGTCCAGATCTCCCATTGAGAAGCACCACTCAAGTAGTAAGCTGAACAAGAGCAGGGAAGAAAAATCAAAACGTCATGTGAGAAGGCAATCCAGATCAAGGTCTGTTGAAGGTAAGCGACAAAGAAGTAGTAGGAAGTCCCCAAAGCACTCAGATGAACGCAGATCAAGGCATCGGAAGCGCTCTAGATCGAAATCTCTAGAAAGCAAAGACGAACCTGAACATAATGATATGGATGTCGAAAATTATGAAGTGACAAGGCATGCTGATGAAAAGCCTGGGGAGTTAGCTGGCGTCTTGGAGACTGATCTACGTAGTCCGGTATCAATGAAGTTGGATAGTGATAATGGTCATCTTGAGGACTGTAATGAATGTGAGAAACAAGAGATAAATGTCTTTGAAGTTGCTGACTCAACCATTAGGGAACAAGATCATCTTAATTTGGACGCATAGGTGCAGGGGATCTAGAGATTCTCTCTCATTGGACGTTGATTCATTGCTTTCTCATTCAATATTTGAGGGATGGTTATTTGAGAGTAACTTGACAGAGGATCATGTTGAAGCTTTGGTTTGAGGAGTGAGATGCCATTGTGTACAAGGGAGAGGGCTATCTTACAAGGCCTAGTGGTCATTTTTGATTACTCGCTGTTCCCGTGACAAATTCGCTGTTTCTTTCTGTTGCAGGTGGTGATGATGGAAACAATCGGAGTCTGATGAAGCAATGATTTTTGGCTGGTATTAGTATTCAACAATTGTCTTTTAACAATTGTGGATCATCTGTGCAATGTTTTTATAGCAAACTATTAATTAACTTGCTGTATGGTGGAGTGTGGACTATTACCTCTATTTCGAGGTAGTAAATTTCTTAATTGTATGCCAATGCAAGGATTCGTGCTAATCCTATGTGTGATATCTATAAATTGCCTATGAATGTTATTCTTCATCCCTGTGTTTCACTGCCTTTTGCGAAGACATAGTTTTCAGAATGGTTCTGAGTTTGATTTGACCACATATTCTCTTGCATATTACTGTCATTGTATTAAATAAGTTCATTATTTAATGTACTGCATTTTTTATGGCCCGCTGTGTTAGGTTGTGATCCATTTGTTGTAGCTCTTTTAATCTTAGTTGTGTGTGTGTTTTATTAACTAGGATTCCCGCAGGTGTTATTTTTTTTCTGCTAGAAGCTTGGCTAGTTTGCTGTTCCGTTAAATTATAAAAAAACATGCAGGATCATGCTGTTCTATGGGCGCTTGGTGAAATGAGTCAAACAGTTTATCTGATTGTTTGTGAAGGTATGCATCTGCAGAAATCGGTTCTTCCGGACAATTGCTAAAGCTTGCACAATTATGCGGCATTAGAACCATGAGCTGGAAATGTTTATGTAGGAATTTTATTGTGAATTATAAGGTTATGATTATTTTATGCTTTGGCCCTGTCCTCATCTTCTACTTCGTTTTTTCTTGTTGGTACCATCTCTCCCTTTCTTTTCTTTTTCTTTCTTTCTTTCTTTCTTTCTTTCTTTCTTTTTTCCCTACTACTGCTTGGTTAGGTAGTCGATGCAAGTTACACAACCAGGTATTGCTGAGATGGGTAGCATTAGCATCACTGTGCTCCTTTGCCTCCAAGTATGTCAAGATTTGCTAGGTTTATGTTCTTTAATTCACAGAGAATGTGAAATGCTATTCTATAACAGGTAATTCTCTTCAAAAAATTAGATTTCATCATTTAGCTACATAAATGTAAAAAGGATGTCATAGCATATCAGATGGCCAAATGCGTCAGCAGTTTGGTGTTGTAGGCTTGTATGAAGGACATTGTCTTTCCCTGTACAGATTCAACATAGTAGGTTATCTGAAACAGTATTTTCCATTGCTGCAAAAAATTCCAGACAATTTTCATCAATTTTGTTGTGCATCTTTATGCAAGATGTGGCTATGGCCGTTCTTAGTTCTTTCAACTTTCTAACTTTTTCCCCACAAAGAGTGAGATGCAGACACTTATCAAACTCTAGCGATTGTGTTCAGCACTTTCTACATGTAACTAAAATTTGTCTGCCGGTCCCCCTTTGTTAAAGATTTTGATGTACATTATACCATTTTCTTTTGTGCTCCTTGGTTTTGCTGCCAGGCAAACTCTCCCCCTCTTCCATGTCCACTTTCTCCAACATACTGTTTTGCTTCTTTTGGTACTTTTATGGTTTGGCGTTGCTGTGGGTTTATTTTTCTTATCTGCGAAGTTGAGAATGCTGGACTGGACGATTGCCAAGTGGTGGGGGAACATGTGTTAAAAACTGGTTCCCATATTTAGCAAAAGACCATGACTTGCATCATGATAGGGGCACGTATTGATGAGAATTGAGATCCCAAGTGTTTGCTCTCTATGTTTTGTCATGATTCAAAGTTCAAACCACTGGAAGTGTCTTTATGCAAATGAGGAGCTTGACGGCTGAGTGCCTGAGTGGACATCCTGAAGGCGTGGAACATGACGGCCACATAACTGCTTTTTGTAAGATGTTTCGGTATTCAGGGCAATTTTGACGTCATGTGTAGAATTAATGATGCAGCAACTGTCCAACAGCAGAGATGTAATGATTGAATAGTGTACAGACTTGCAAGGAATAACAGCAGTAGTAATAATTATAACATACTCCCTTCGTCACTTAAATCTTTTTAATCTTTCTTTTTTGGACGTCCCAAAAAACTTTGTCACTTTCCAGTTTCCCTTTTCATCAATTTTTTGTGGTTTCTGTTATTTCTCTCTTTTGTACAAACCTAGACCACATAGTTTTTACTTTATTATTCTCCGTGCTGGTCAACTTTGGCAAAGTTTTAAGAAATGGAGGTAGTAATACGCCAAGGCTAGGGGTGGATTCGGTTCGGGCCACCCGGCCCGTGACCCGGCCCGGCCCGGTACTGTGTGGGCCCGGGACCGGCCTTGTCGGGCGGTCCGGGACCGGGTGTGGACCCGAACCGGTGGGAATGGGCGGGGCGGGTACGGTGCCGGATAAATGTGACCCGGCCGGGTCGGGCCCGGATCCGGTCTGATTTTTAATTTTTTTTTAAATTGGGCTACTAGCCGTTGGGGGTGGGTAGGGGACAACCCAAACGGCTATATAGCCATTGGGTGGGTGGGTGGGGGGGGGGGGTCCAGGGGGTTGGGTGGTGGGGGAGGTGGGGGAGTGGGGGGTAAAAAAACCTATAAATACTCCTAATCTTAAACATTTTTCATATCTCTTCACCAATTCTTCCTAAATCCTATTCTTAACTCTCTACTCTCTAATTCTCTTATTCTCCAATATATTATATTTATTATTTATATATCTACTTTATAGTTTATACTTAAGAAGTTAAGATGGAAAATCAAGATGTCATTATACGGTATAATTTTGATAAGCAAAAGGACTCGAAGACCGGGATGTGGTATGCAATTTGCAAATGGTGCGAGAAAAAATGTAGCATGTGGGTTTCAGGCGGATACGGGATGACAATCAAGCATATGAAGTAGGGTTGGATTCGATTCGGGTCACCCGGTCCGTGACTCGGCCCGGCCCGGCACTGTGCGGGCCCGGGACCGGCCCGGTCGGGTGGTCCGGGACCGGGTATGGACCCGAACCGATGGGAAGGGGCGGGGCGGGCTCGGTTCAGGATTATTGTGACCTGGCCCGGCCGGGTCGGGCCCGGGTCTGGGCCTCTTTTTTAAAAAAAAAATTTTTTGGGGGGTAAAAAACCTATAAATACTCCTAATTAGGGATGAACTCGGGTCCGGGCCGGGTCCGGGCCGGGCCTAGGCCCGGGCGGGCCGGCGGGTCAGAAATGGTGGACCCGGGACCGGCCCGGGTAACCACCGGGTCCGGGCCGGGCCGGGCCGGGCCCATTATATTTTTTTTTTGTTTTCCTCTTCCTAATTAACCCCCTCCCACCCCCAACCCCCCAAACCACCCCAAATGGCCCAAAATACCCAGCCCAACTCGAAAACTAAAAAAAAATTGAAAAAAAAGAAAAAAAAATAGTTTTTGACCCGAACCGGGCCCGGGCCCGGCCGGGTCGGGCCTTGTTTTGGGTGACCCGAGCCCGGACCGGAAAACCCATGGGCCGGGCCTACCCGGACCGGTCACTGACCGGGCCACCGGGTCGGGCCGGGCCGGGCCGGAACAGTACCGGTCCCTGGCCGGTTCCGGGTCGGGCCACCCGGCCCGAGTCCATCCCTACTCCTAATCTTAAACATTTTTTCATATCTCTTCTCCAATTCTTTCTAAATCCTATTCTTAACTCTCTACTCTCTAATTCTCTTATTTTCCAATATATTATATATCTACTCTCTAATTCTCTTCTCCAAGAAGTTAAGATGAAAAATCAAAATGTCATTATACGGTATAATTTTGATAAGCAGAAGGACCCGAAGACCGGGATGTGGTACGCAATTTGCAAATGGTGCGAAAAAAAATGTATCATGGGGGCTTCAAGCGGATTCAGGATGGCAATCAAGCATATGAAGTCATGTGACAAAGCCAAAGGATCGGGAGGTGCGGGAAGTTCCGATTGATTACAATTTTCAAAATGTTTCTCTCTTAAAGTTTGTTTTAATTTTCAAATGTAGTTCCTATTTCATTTCAAATAAATGCAATTGAAGTTTGTTTTTAATACTCGTATAAAACTATAAACTATAAAATATAAATTATATAAAAAAAATTAACCGGCCCGGCCCGAACCGGACCCGACCCGTGACCCGGGCGGGTGGCCCGGCCCGAACCGGACCCGTCCAACCCTCGGGCCGGTACTGGGCTCACTGTTCTTGAACCGGCGGCCCGACCCGGCCCGAATCCATCCCTAATATGAAGTCATGTGACAAAGCCAAAGGATCGGGAGGTGCGGGAAGTTCCGATTGATTACAATTTTCAAAATGTTTCTCTTAAAGTTTGTTTTAATTTTCAAATGTAGTTCCTATTTCATTTCAAATAAATGCACTTGAAGTTTGTTTTTAATACTCGTATAAACTATAAAATATAAATTATATATAAAAAAAACTTTAACCGGCCCGGCCTGAACCGGACCCGACCCGTGACCCGAGCGGGTGGCCCGGCCAGAACCGGACCCGTCCAACCCTCGTTCCGGTCCCGGGCCCATGTGATACGGATCGGCGGCCCGACCCGGGCCTGACCCGGCCCGAATCCATCCCTAGCTAAGGCTAAACGCAACCTAGACATGGACCGGTTCCGGTTCGGGCCCGGTTCGGGCCTGGGCCCGGTTCGGGCCTGGGCCCGGCCGGGCCTCGTTTCAAGAAGGGGAGGCCCGGAACCGGCCCGGGTAAACCCCGGGTCCGGGCCGGGCCAGGCCTCGGTTTTATGTTTTTTTTTGGCCTTTCCTAGTTAACCCCCAACCCTCCCCCTCACCCCCAAAGTCCCAAACCAACCCTAACCACCTCAAATGGCCCAAAATACCTAGCCCAACCCAAAAACTTAAAAAAAATTCAAAAAAAAAAAAAAAAAAAAATGGCCCGGACCGGGCCGTGCCTGCACAAAAAATTTGGTTCACCGGTCTGGTCCGGGCCCGCATAGTAGCGGGCCGGTTCGGTTCCGGACCGGTTGGCCCGGCCCGAGTCCACCCCTACCGCAACCCAGCTCGTCAATAATTTTAATCTAACACCAATTTATATGTATTCACTCAGTCAATCCTGTTTTTCCTTGCAACCTAACACCGTCAATATATTCACTCAACACATTCTTTTTTAGTTAAATCCTTACTTTTGTTATTATACATAATTTTTTCGCAAATTCTATTTTTGCAAATAATTATGATTTAATATATCGAACATTTCGATGTAAAAATAAATAAATTTGGAGTGAATTTTTTTAACTATTTTTTTTAATGTTAAAATATCAAACTAATTTTTGTAACTGTATATATCCATGACTGGTGTCATATGAAAGATTATAAAAAGTTATGAATTTTGATATATTTTTTATAAAAATTTGATCTTTAATAAAAATGTTATATCATTTTAAAGAAATTTCGGATTTTGAGTTTTCATGGAGTTCACTTCTTTTTCTTTGGTGTGCACACCAAGTGCAGTTTTTTCTCTCTCCAAGAGTGGATCGAGCATCCAAATTCCCACCCCAAGGGTTCTACAAATCCACTATGAGACCCTAGTATACTTGGGTTGCACATCAATTTGGAGTGAAAAGCTCAAATTTGGGTTTCCAACCCTATGCATTGTGGACAGCCTAAGACTGAACGATACTGATAACAACAATAGTTAATAGTAGCCTTAATTATAGAAATCCATCGTGTATAACTTAAAATAACAACAGTATTGACTATTGATGATCTAGTGGTAAGAAGACAATTATACATACTGGGATTAGGATAATTAGGGGTGGACCGGGCCTAGGGATGGACTCGAGCCGAGTTAACCGGCTTGGACCGGCCTGGTTCCTGGTTCTGTGTCCGGTTCGGGCCACCTGGTCTGGCAATGTAGTGGTGCGGTTCCTAGGCCTCCAAAATGATGAACCGGCCTGGCTGATCCGGTCCCGGTCCGAGCCTAACGGTTAAATTTAAAAAAAATTATTTTTAAATTAATTGGAAGGCTATATAGCCGTTGCAACACCTCCAAACAGCTCTATAGCCGTTGGAGGGCATGTTGGGCCCATGAGCCCATCTCTAGGCTGGGGTCCGGGGGTGGGGGGTTGGGTACAAAAAAAACTATAAATACTCTTTACACATCTTCTCCAACTCTTCCTACTCTCTAATTCTCTATTCTCTAATATTCTTAATCATCTCCATCTTCATCTTCTTCAATTCTCTCTACATATTTATACAGTTATTATATCTACTTATATATATTAATTATCTAATTTTAAATACATGCGGAGTATATTATATTATTAAATTTTATTTATCTACATAATATATACTTATTATTTACATTATATATACTTCATATTTATTTAATACTACCTCCGTCCCGGTGGACTTTGTCAAATGCAAAGTAGGTGAGAAATACGAATAGTAAAAACTGTGTGATTGAGATTTGTGCAGAGGAGAGAGAAATGTGCAGAACCACAAATTAGTTACTTTAATAGGAAAATGACAAAGTTTTTTGGGACAATAAAAAAAAGGAGAGTTGACAAAGTCCAATGGGACGGAGGGAGTATCTACTTATTATATTATTGTTATTTACTTACATTTACATATTAAATCTACTTAATATATATTTATATATATTAAAGTACTAAATATAAGTGTATTACTCATCTTAGAATGAGGTGGGCAACTTGCTACCATTGTAACGAGAAAATTTGTTTGGGAATTTTGCATGGATACGGAGGCGCGAACAGGCATTTGAAGGCAAACCACCCCGAGGAGTGTGCAAAATTAAAAGAGAAAGGGATGCGAAGTATTTTTTTCCCGCTTTTTTAATTAGGCTATTAACTATATTATCAATTGTACTTCATATTTCAACCCCCCCTCCCGCCACTTTATGGAGGAAACAACCGAAGATGGTGGAGATTCCGATTGATTATATTTATTTGAAAATGTATTTCGCGCTTTAAAATTTTCTCAATTGTCAATTGTACTACATATTTCAAATAAATATACTTTAACTTTTTTATATTCAACAATTCTTGAATTAATTTTCCAAAAAATACTCGGTTACGGCCCGACCCGGACCAACCTAGACCCGACCCGCCACCTGGCCAGGTGACCCGACCCGAATCGGACCCTACGGTACCCGGCCCGGTTCCGGGCCTTACTCACACAACAAAAAGCCCGGACCGAGGCCATCCCCAACCGGGCCTGTTCAGCCTGATCCGGGACCTGGCCCGGCCTGACTGTGCTGGACCCGACCGGCCCGGTTGACCGGTACCGGGGCATTAATGTGGCAGGCTATAGGCTTGCTAAATGATGAATTGGCTCGACAGAGATGGGATTGGTCCGGGTCCAATTATTTTTTTGCTTCTCATTGGGCTGGCCTCTAGGTGGGTGGGGCTGGGTGGTTTGGGGGGGGGGGGGGGGTGGAATTAATTAGAAAGACAAAAAAAAACTATTTGAAAGATTGAGTCCCAGCCCGGCCTCGGTACAAACCCAGGCTTGTACCGGGCCTGAATATTCAGGACCTAAAGCTCGCCCTAGCCTGATCCGGACCCGATCCATGAGTGGGCCCTCGAACGCTCGAACTATTAGTGATTCTAGAATAATCAGAAAACTTGTAATTAAACTCTTAATTCATTGAAAATTAAGGAATCATATTCTATACACATGTTGGTGCCAGTAGGTGAAAAGGACCAGATTGCTTAAATTTTCAATGAGTTGAGGGAAGTATTTGCAAGTCCAGTTCAAAGGTCTGATTGTATTATTGCTAATAGTTCAAGGGTAAATTTGATCAGTTTCTCTAATATATACTAGTAAGGGGATTAATGACGTGGTGGGGTGGGGAGCTTGGACTAGGGGCAGATCTAGGAGTGGGGGTGGGGTGGGCTAAGCAGTAAAAAATTTTGTTACTGCAAAATGTCTAACTTAAGGTTGTTATTGAACTGAGCTTTTTTTGAACTGCTTGAGTTTGAGCATGATTTCGAATTTAATTTAACAATTCGAGCTTAACGAGCTTCGAACTTGAACACAAGCTAGATTTTGAGTTCGAATAGTTATTCAAGATGAATTTGAGCATAGTCACGTTCAATTCGATCTGGACTTAAGCATATCGATAACTTATAAATTATATACTTCTCGTTCTCTTTCATTTAGCCACATTTGACTTTTCAAGTCAAACAAGTTAAATTTTGAATGATTATATATTTGTACATAGTAATATGGATAGTATGAAAATGTTCTTTATTAAAAATATTATCATAAAAGTATAAATTTATTAAATTTGACATTAATATTTAGTTAAAATAATGGAACAAAATTTACCATCTTTGATTGAAAAAGTCAAATATGGCTAAATACAAAGGACATAGGTAGCATATCTTGAGATTTAAACGTTTTTGTTGAAGTTTTATAAATTTATTAATGATTATTAAAGATTCTAGTATTTATTGATATAAATTATATACTTCTATAAAAGTATAAAACTAATAAATAAAAACAATTGTTGTACAGAAAACTAAAAAGTATTCCGAATCTTAAAATTGAATTGAGATTTTTAATTTTTTCTTGCACGTCTAAACAATAAACAAATCATTTTTTATTCTATTCTATAATAAATAATTCATTCTCTGATATTTAATTCTATCTTTAATCGTTATAAATTTATAATGATTAAATAGAATTACAAAACCGATAGACTTGGGCTTGTGTGAAAATTAATTTTAAGGTGGACTGAACATTAAATCTATGCTTGTACTAATTAAAAAAAATGAGGTGGGCTGAAACTCACCCCAGTCCCTAGTCCCTACATAGATCCGACATCGGGTCGGACGACTATCATTCACTCCGTCAACCGTCATTACTTGTTTCTCACGGGGTCGTTTCCTCTATGATGCGGAGAATTCAAAAGTACCATTGTTTCGTTGTACAGTTGAAAAATATAGATTTGTTATTGGAACGAAAGATCACTACAAATCAACATGGTAGATCAAATGACTTATGACGGTAAATAACAATACAAAAGGGTTGGTATGCTACATAGGTATAGGGGTGGATCGGTATGGAAACCGAAATTTTCAAGGCACATCGTATACCGTACCCAATTTACGGTATGATGGATTCTACACCGCATGAAAATTTTCGGTATATCGTGTTTTGGTATACCGAAAGATTGGTTTGATAAAAGACTCATACCTGAACATACCTAAGAATCATTATACCTAATATTTTTGGTATAACACACCATACTTTTTTGGGAATGAATATATATTGTACCATACCTTTAGAACCTTCAAGTAGAAATTAGGAAAAATGGATAAGAATAGTTCCAACTATTAGTGATATGTTTGAAATAATTCAAAGTATCAATTATCTCAAGCTAATCTAAACTATTGAAAAATATTCTCAAAATACTCCAAACTTATAATTATTCGTAAATAACTTATAATATTTATGAGTAAGTTGAGTATTTTGAGAAGATTTTTCAATAGTTGGGATTATTTTGAGATAATTGATACTTTGGATTATTTTGAGATAATTGATACTTTGGATTATTTTAAGCAGATCGCTAATAGTTGAGATTATTCTTGTTCATTATTCCTAGAATGTAATGATAATATATTGCATAATGAAATTTAACAACTTCTATCATGGCAGTAAAGTCAAATTCAACCCAAAAGGCTATGACAATGTCACAATTGCCCCATTATACAAAACGAGGTCTCCATACACCAATTGAAGTACTAGAACAATGGAACAAAAGAATGGTGGGTGTATAGACATAATGGACATAGGGTTGATTTGTTAGATGCAATCAGTAGGTTAAAATTGATATGGGCAAGTGGGTCTTGATTTCGATATTTTGGTATTCTTCTTTGTAACTGACCTTTACTTTTTTTCAAATAAGTATTTCCATCATAATTCATACATAATTTCAAACAATCATAATTTCATTCGATATCACATTTTTTTAGAAAGGAAAATTTTATTAAAGAAAAGAAATATTGAAAGTACAACATGAGGAAAAAAATAAAACAAGGAAATAATGCAAATAAAAAAAGAACAAGGAGTAGAAGAACCCAACCCAAATTACAGTAAGAAAAATCCTTATTTAAAAAAAAAATTGGAGCCCTCGGTTGAATCTTCAAAGACCCGCTCGTGATTGAGATCTTGTTCTCATAAAATGTGATCTCTGATTCTTCTTTTTATCCATTCCCTTTTGAGCATTCAAGTTTTGTGTGGTTAAACACTTTTCTCGTGTAAAAAACAAATCTTTTTGACAAATAACCTCATTTGCATCAGAGTCCCAAAGATTGCTCACTGTCGAAATACGAACCCTCTTCTCATTTTCCAAGACATGACCAAGAAATTCATCGTCTGAAGTAGTAGAATATGATCCTCCTAAAACCCTTCAAAATCAAAATCTTCATCAAGATTGCCCGTACAACCTATATATGCATAATCCCAAGAAACCACATGACCGCTCAAAATACCAAAAAAAATCTCCTTTCTCATTCTTATCATCAAGCTCCGAATCATAATGTGTTCTGGAAGAATTCCTTTCGCTAGTGCCCCACAAACAGTCATGGTTATCCAAAGCAGAGAGTAGAAGTCTCTTAAATTCACAGAGCATAAAGCAAGAAAGTAATTCCACTCCATTTGTTAAGGTCGCCTGAAGTATGTTCAAACGCTAATGTATTCTCAGCATTTGCTTTCAACAACACCAATTCCCTTGTAATTCCTATATGAAAAAGATTGACCCCATGTCCATTCCTTCCTCCGGATTAAATAAAGAATCATTTCCCTTTTCAATGATTCGGATAAAATGTCCAAAGTAATTTGCATCATACGTAATGATAAGTGATTTATTCAGCTCAAAGCCTAGTAGTAAATTTATCATAAAAAACTTGAGAATGTTCAAACTATTCATGTAGCAAAGTAATATGGAGTATGTTCAAAGTTCAAACATAGCAAAAATTTCTTACTGTGAATATCAAAATAAAACTCCTGCCTCCTAACATGTTAAATTTTAAGTTTATTAGATTAATGATTCAAAACCCGAATGATCATTATCTAGTGTGCTGAGAGGGCACAAATAATACTTTTGCACGTCCTCCTATTGTGTAAGACTCACATCGTCTTATTGTGTGAGCAATATTGCTTATGCCTCACCGCAATATTGTACAGGGCGTAACTCACCTAGTGGGAAGAGGGTGCCACAAGAGAGAGATCCCGTGCTCAACTTTAAGCAAAGACTTAGACTAGAACCTCATTTCTTTCTACTTGTGTGTGATCAAAACTAAATTTACATTCTCTTAGATAACTGTCCAGCCAAGGCCCTCGGGGATGGGGTGTCATCTTTTTAATATTGCGCACACCACATTCAGGGCGTCATAGAAAATGCCTTTTTACGCCATAAGGCGCAATTGCATTGCGTCATAAGGGGCTTCTATGGGGTGTGTGTCATGTGTGTGATATATAATGCTCTAGTCCCATGAAAAAAGTAACCAATATCAGAGCAATAACGAGTTTCTTAACTTTTTATCATCTGATTTTTTATATTTCCTAGTAATGGAGAATTGATGTTAAAGCATTTGTCCCACACCGGAAAATTATTAAACAATAAAACATTGTATAAGAGTTTGAGTTACTCCTCCTATCAGGTTAACCTTTTAGGATGGAATCTCAGGTTTTGACATGGTATCAGAGCCAATTCAGTTGTGGTTTGACTGTTTGTTTAGCACTCATGATTAATGCTAGCTTGATAATGGTCTATTTGACCCATTTATACACCCTGATATTGTTCAGACTGATTCGGATTGAGGGGGCGTATTAAAGTATTTGTCCCACACCGGAAAGCTATTAAACAATAAAAGACTATATAAGACTTTGAGTTACTCCTCCTATCAGGTAGGTGATATTCGTTGGAGTGCGGTTGGTGGTTGTCTCACATGAGATCTCAGTGTAGGACAGTCGGTGGCAATCCCAAAGGATATCTTACCCGCGGGCAGTGGAGATGTTCTAGTTGGACAGCCAGTGGCAGTCTCGAAAAATATATGTTTTTATTTTAATGTATTTGGGTCTAAATTAATATGTATTTAAGTTGTTGTTGAAAAGGTCCAAGTAATAGCAAATTGTAGAAGGAACAAATTCTAGAACTTCTCTAGAAGATGTGGTCTCTAGAATTCTTGTACAATTAATTGTGTAGACTTGTGTAGAATGCATTAATGGTAGAAGAGCTTAGGTATGTTTGTACTAATATAAATAAAGCTTCCCTACCACCACATTGTATCAAGCAAATCAAGTTAATTTGAGTTGCTTTAATAAAATGAGTATCAAAATATCACCATGGTTTCCTTTGCTCATTTTCAAAAGGAGTTCTTTAATAGTTTTGACATGGTAATACCCTGGATTACAAAATTCACAAAGTGTCAAGTCCACTCTCATACTTTTAGGCTCTTTGAAAAAGGAATCAAATTTCAACTATGTGGTTCTGAAAACTTTGGGTTGCTATTTTTTATTATCGATGTCCATTTTGCATAAAAAAAAAGAAAAAATAGATAAAATAAAACGAGTTCTTCCCTTTGTTCAATTATCTCTTTCATATTATTTCAAATTTAGACTCCCAATACTCCAATTTCCTTCACTTATTTCCAATAGTTATATCAGAGCTTGTTCGGTCATCATTCAAAAATGATCGGTTCGCTTCAAATTCCTCCACTAAAAAAGGAGAAGTATGATAGTTGGAGCATTCATATGAAGACAATACTTGATTCGAAAGATGTGTGGAACATGGTAGAGGAAGGTTAGAAGAAACCCGAGGACATCTTCACATTAAGTCAAGCTCAATAGAATGCCTTGAAGAAAATTAAAAAGAAAGATCAAAGGCGCTCTCTATCACCCATCAAGCTTTAGACGAAGTCATGTTCGCGAAGATGACATGTGCAACAACTTACAAAGAAGTTTGAGAGATATCAGAGAATTCTTATAAAGGAGTAGATAAGGTGAAGAAAGTAAGACTCCAAAGAATCCATTGTTGACTATTTCTTTGCTCTCTATGAGAATAAATACTATTATTACAAAATCATGTTGTCATACTAAGATTATTAGGGTGGACCCGATCCCGATTCGTTCCTTGTTCCGGCCCCGGTCTGTGGCAGACGAAGCCCAGGTCCGACTCGGTTAATTCCGTGTCTGGGCAAGTTTCGGTCCAGATCTATTCCCCATTTTTTTTAAAATTTCCCCCTTTCCAAGCCTAAACAAAACTTTATCCGGTCCTGGACCAGAACCACCTGGTTCAGTCCCAAAATGGGTGAACTAGGACCGAGTAACATTTTTGGCTGGACTCGGGCCGGTCCCGAGACGGAACATGATTTTCAGAACCCGGTCCGATTCCAACAGTGCCGGACCCGATTCCAAACCGGGCCGGACCAAGTCACCCCTAACTGAGATATAATGTCATATTTTTAATGGATGATACTAATTAAAAAAATTGCACTAATTTTACTGTTGAAAAAGTGTTGGACAAATTGTGACTTGATAACTTTTAGTGATTATAATTGTATTCAAAGTTATTATGATGTAGTGAATATGATGCAATCTTTGAACATAATTATATTCATTAAAAGTTACTCAGTCACATTTTTTCATGATTTTTTTATGACAAATATTTTAGAAAAAAACTTTAATAATGTGACACTAGTTTTTTCATAATATTATTTTAATCATATTTAGGAAAAATATTACTTCTATTTTGAAAAATCACCTCATTTTTGGTCATATTTTAAAAAACATTTTCCTTATTTTTTTTGAAAGAAAGTGACTTATATTATCAAGAAACCAAAGTTCAGGTAAGTAATAGAAAGACAAAGATTCTCATCCCGATCACTAGCCCTCGAATCAGACTTTGAATGTATCACCTTCACAAAAACAATAACTCTCGCTGATCCTATAATGGGCATAACTGAGCCAACAGTGACCGAAAGAAATCCCTCATCGCCTACCCTACTCTTCAAAGTTTTCAATGAAGAAGAAAGAAATAACAGCAAGACATAGTCTGAATCAACAAAACAAACCAAATAAAATAAAAAGAAATAATAGTATCCTCCGCAGAACCAACCAAAGCTGCAGTATGTCAAAGAAGCACGCCTCACATAACCAGGCGGGCCTGGTACCCCGGGCCCGCCTCCCTCCCTTTTTTTGGATTGTCGAGGGCCATCTTCTCACATGTTTGGTTCTCTCTCGCTTGTTCCTCCCAAGTTCTCCTCCTCTTTTGGTCTCCCACACCCTCCTCACTATTTCCTAGTAACATGACAACCGCTGAATCCCCTCCACTCCCATCCCCAACAGCATCAAGCCTTTCTCTCTTGCTTTAGAATCCCTTTGTCCCCTCATCTCCCATGTTTGTCCTGTCCTTACCTGCAGTCCCATCCCCTTCCTGCACCAACCACTTGTTGCCCATAGTTGGGTGAACTCTCCCCCTCGAGCTCTGAGTTCTGGTCCGAAATGTTTAACCAATTCCTTTGTCCTTTGCTCATAAGCCATCGGGGAGTACCTATCTGTGTGACGAATGAGCCTACATACGAAACAAAATCTGGACAATTTCTCATATTTAAAGTCCACCCAGAACTCCCTACTACCCTTTCGTAGTTTTGTCCCTTTCTTGAGAGGTCGGCCAATGTCTAAAGTAATTCTGTTTCTCAAGTAAGCATTGCACCTACCTTCTAGCTGATTATCATCAATTTTAACAAATTTGCCTAAATAATTCCCAATCCTCTGCGCTGCTTCAAGGGTCATAAAATCATAAGACACATTATGAATCTGAACCCAAAATTCTGTCATTGTCAAGGGAACCCTAAGAGGAATATCCCCTGACTTGATCTCATGTAAAACTAACAATTTTTGTTCGAAAAGCCAAGGGCCGTTTTCAAGTACCCGTTTCATATCAACTACTCCCTCTGGTTCGTATTAAAGTTCTCACTTTCCTTTTAGGGATGTCCCTTATTTAAGTTCACACTTTCATTGTAGGAAACAAAACAGTGCAAAACAGTGTCTAACAATGTCAAACAGTGTCCAAACAGTGTCAAACAGTGCCAAACAGTGCACTCCACAGTAAAGTCAAATTTATTTTCTTAATATGTGTGAAGTCAAACTGGGAACTTTAATAGGAACCGGAGGAAGTATATGATTAAAGGTAAACAAGTACCTGCATTCACCAATGTCTTTGATCAGAACACCCCTGTCGGGACGCCATAAAGATTCCATAGCCTCAATAAAAACTGAAATTTCACTACTTTCTCCGTAACTAGAGTCCCATCAACAGGAAAAGCCACCTGATTTTCTTATTCTCCAACATCACCACCCCCTTCTTGAAAAACCAGACCATCGTCATCATCCTCCAACGTCAAATTGCCATATTGTTGCTCCGAGTTCGCCATTGAGTGCTCTCAGATCCGAAGCTGATGTCGCTGCCCTGGTAAAGCTATGAGCTGTCACCTAGAACAAAACTACAGCCGCTCCTGTTCCGGAAAACCCCCCTCCCTTGCTGACTCGAAATCCCAAATTAACAGCCGAAAAATGTAGTCTTGCCTCTCACCAATTGCTACTTAGGGTTGTTTGGAATTATTATGCTTCTGCTACTTTTTTTAAAGCAGAAGCAGAATCAAAATCAGTTTTCAGAAGCTGCTACCCCTAGTAATCATTTCTGCATTTTCACCCAAACACTCCAACTTCTGCTTCTGATCGAGCAAAAACATTTTTAAGAATTAAATCAAAACACCCGTTAGTAAGCCAAAATAACGCACAATGGTGTAGCCTAACCCCACTTTGATTCCTACGATAGAAAGCCTCCACCAACAAGCAATTACTAAAACTCAACCAATTAATTTGAAACTCAACGCTGCCGCACGACTCAATCGGCGGATGAGAAACCCTACATGGCGTAGGGAGCCGTCCACCGGGGAAACTTAGAAAAGACTTGAGCATTTCCCATATTAATTTATATCAAATAACTTTAAGCCCGTTTTTTGTCTAAGGGCAATACGAACATCTCCAAGGAAGATGCCCTACTTCAGGTGACGTACGTTCGCAATAGACCAACAAGGCCCAATTGCACGATGTACGTACGGAACCTTGACCCTGGGAGCAGACAAGACACAGGAGGCAAGCTCATGGGGACGGACGTCCTCACCCCTTGCAGGAAGCCAAGATCCTGGCGGGAAGCAGGAGGCAAGCTCATGGGAACGAACGTGCCAAGATCCTGACGAGATTCTGCATTTAATACAGAAGATCTGGTGATTGCGCATTTAATGCAGAAGATTTGGTGGTTGGGATCAAGCCATCCACAGTCCGTCACGTCAACACATCTAACTATCCATTGGCGGTATAAATAGTAGCATTTATTTCATTGTAAAGGTGGTGACAACTTAGCACTCTAGTATTATAGCATTCTTATTATCTCGTAGCAGAGCATCTGTAGGAACGGCCTCACGCTTTGTAGGTACGAACGGCCTCACGCCTTGTAATAGTGGAATTAAACCAAGACTTCTTATTGAGTCTCATCTTACTTGTTTGACCTTATTCTCCTAAACTACCCACTCGAAACTCTTAGATTGTGTGTTGGGCTACGGGTTGAAGTGAATAAATCTCAACACTGACGTCGTCTGTGGAATAAAATCTGGACTTTTGGCAACATCAATCTTATATTTATGTAACATATCTACAATACTATTATGCAACATTAATTTATAATGTAACATTTATATCACAGCATGTAACACTTTTATATTGTTACACGAGCAACATTCATCGTAATAAGTATGTTATGGCACCTTTTATATTTCTCATTAATGTGTAACAACTACTCCCTCCGTTTCTGAAACAAGTTCCACCTTTCCTTTTCGGGCAGATTCAAAATTAAGTTCCACTTTCAAACATTTCCTTATTTAACAAATTATCTACATCAAAACAGTATCAAACAGTGTTCAAACAATGCCAAACAGTGTTCAAACAGTGTCAAACAGTGCACTCCACAGTAAAGTCAAATTTATTTTCTTAATATGTGTGAAGTCAAATGTGGAACTTTTTTCAGAAACGGAGGGAGTATATTAATAATTTCTTAGCAATTATTAAATGTTTTGAGTTATAGCGTATATATATTATGCAACTAACACAAAACAACAACTTCACAAAGTGAAGAAAAATTCAATAGTGAAGAAATAATATTTTACATATCTTCAGCCTGAAGGAAACTTTAAAAATATCACCATTACTATCTTTCAAAATTACATCAATAGTAGTAACCCAAATTTGCACCATATGAAAATGAACTATTATGTAGAATACATCTTCATGTCTTGTGATTGAATAAAAATTGAACTGGAAAACATTAAACTGCTTCATTATATGGTAGCACAATTCCATGCATGCATCTCAATCTGCTAATGACTTCAACCAAAAACAAATAAAAAACAATTATCAAATCAGAACTTAATTGTATATTTAGTACATATATGTAAAGTGATCTATAACAGTACCAACATACTTAACTGGTCGCTTTGTCACAGATTTACAAAAAGTTCCATGCTTAATAACACAGTACAAAATAGATTGGAAAAGGGCAATTGTTCACAGGATCTCACCACAAATTTGAGATCAAATAAAGCTTCATATATTCCAACATCTTCCATAATGAAAACACACATCAGATACATGTAAATAGCAAATTAAAATCATGCCTTACATTATTGTGAAGGTACTCTTCTCTTTCTATGATTTATGCATGTGGTCTCCTTGCCATCGTTTACTTCTAGCTTTAATCATTTTTCCTGAAATTCCAAATAAAAAAATTAAAAATATAACAATGTTAAAAGTATATATTTTTATAGCAATATAACAACGATAAAAGTAAACCATAAACATAGCTGATCCAAAAAATTCAAAGGATGTTTTTACTTGGACTGTAATTCATCCCAGACCAGATCAGACCAGACCAGATCAGACCAGACCAGACCAGTTCAGACCAGACTAGACCAGACTTGGATAATTATAAAAATACAAATAAACCAGACCAGACCAGAAAAGTTCAGACCAGACCAGACCAGAACAGACCAGACCAGACCAGCAAATTACAGTCCAAGTAAAAACATCCAAAGGCATCATACCAACATTAACAAGAATTAATGACTATACCTTCGATATCTGTAGCGGTTTTGGAAACATCTCGTCCCAATTGCATGAATCTATTATGTCTCGAAAACTCAAGACAAATTAAATGAAAAAGAATACCTACCATATCACAATATAATCATTACATGCACATCCATAAGGGGAAAAGACTCCAATAGGAGTAAAACATGGGCTTGGAAAAGACCTCCTGCTTTTTTAACCCTAAATAGGACTTATTTACATTTGGACGGACAAAAATAACCCCAACCCCTCACTCAATCGTGATCCACCGACTTCGCAGAACACCGAAAGCTTCAGCCGTCTTCAGCCCATTCCAATGGCTGTCGAAGCTCGGATAATCTTCAACAAAAAGCTCCAATCGATTTTCTTCATCAATTTCAGAAACTCATTCGTCGAAGCTCGGATTACATTGGCGAAGCTCAAAGACTCATTCGTCGAAATTAATATCAGGCTACAATGTCATTCAAACCAATTCCGAACGATTTCGGGCGAAATTCCGATCAATTTAGTTTCTTTCAACATATCTTCTGCGCAAAAACATACCTTTCTCCTTTTTCAGTTTCTTTATGTCCTGCTGCTACAGTGCTACGTCAAAACATGTTAAAATGGTGAAATAATGACACTATGTATGTCACTATACTTTAAATATTATCAAAATAAAGTGAAAATCATCAGAATGTCTTAACAATGTCAATGTCTTAACAATGTCAATGTTGTAGCAATGTCAATAAAAAACAATGTCAATGATAATGTCATAAGAATGTCAATGACAATGTCATAGAATGTTAATAAAAAACAATGTCAATGACAATGTCATAAGAATGTTAATGACAATGTCATAAGAATGTCAATGACAATGTCATAAGAATGTCAATGACAATGTCATAAGAATGTCAATAAAAAATAATGTCAATGACAATGTCATAAGAATGTCAATGACAATGTCATAAGAATATTAATGACAATGTCATAAGAATGTCAATGACAATGTCATAAGAATATTAATGACAATGTCATAAGAATGTCATACGAATGTCAATGACAATAAAATACATTCCTTATTTCTTTGCTTTCAGTTTGTTCGTATGTACAGAGCACTATCAAATAGTTTGACAATGTTGATATCATTTATCAATACTAAAAACAATGTCACAATTTTGAAATGAATCCACCTGATAGGAAAATCGGTCCCAGATCTAAAAGAGAAGAAGAGAAGTAGAAGAGAAGGAGAAAAAGAAGAAGAAGAGGAGGAGGGGAAGAATAAGAAGAAGGAGAAGGAGGAGGAGAGGAGAAGAGAGAACGCAGGTTACGCAGCAGGGCCTTCAGCCGCACCGTCGCACCTTCACACCGCCGCACCAAAAACACTACAGCACCGCTGCAACACCATTTTAGCTCAGCACCTCCATTATTTTGATGGTGCTCTACCTTGCTTAGCTGTGGAGGAAGGAGAGATGATTAGGCGAGGCTATTGCCGAGAGATAGCTGTGGTGCGTTAGGAAAACGCGAGACGGGAAAACATTGACAATTTTGGAAACACGGAAAAATTTGATCTTATTTAGGAGTTAAAAAAATTAAGGTCTTATTTAATTACATACGGGAAGGTAAGATCCTATTTAGCACCATTTCTCCATCCATAATATATTGATATAAAAGCAACACCTTTAGGCAGAACTGTACCAAATTGCTCGTAGTAGGCGTACTTTTGTTTGTTTTTATGGATTCTCATAATGGAGCATGGGAAATCATCAATCTTCCAGCATCTGCATTTTTATCAAGAACTTTGACAAAATTAAGGAAAGAAAAATTATATTTAGGAAATGGTTTGAAATACTTCTATGAATGGCATGTACCAAATTCCATTTACTCCTTAAGTACGAGTAGGGGTAGATTTCTTTTATTTATATTTAATTGAATTATGAAAAACAAATACATATTACGTACATCATTGTTTCTATATGAGATACCTTAGTTTTAAAACTCTTGCCTATTGGAGACGTACGTCCCCTAAAGTAGGGGGAAAGCATCTCCATTCGTACTGCCCTTAGCTGAAGATTAGCGTAAGAGTCAACTAAACATGCATTGACCGCAATACTCTTACTTTTAGAAAATAAAAGACATTAAATAGACACTAAATAGACAATAAGTAGACAATAAATAGACAGTTGGGGATGTACGTCCCCAGAAGTAGGGGGAAAGCATTTCCAGTTGGGGACGTACGTCACCTGAAGTAGGGGGAAAGCGTCTCCAGTTGGGGATGTACGTCCCCTAAATGTCGTTGCAAGGGTTCTTGATGGTTGGGTTGTTTTGACTGCTCAGTATGTGAGCATTGTTGTACCCTGATCCAAAAAGTGTAAACAACCTTTACTCTTTGAATTACATACTTCTATCATATGATTTTCTTCACCACTTCATAATCACAACAAAATAAATCACATCCCAGAAAGTTTGAGCAAATACAAACGTTACATGGTTTTTTGTGACTTCTATTATTCTATGTAGTCTAATGCTATGAGTGTGTTTATCAATTTATGAACCGATTTGGGACGTTTTTCTGACTCCATGTCTTTGTGAACCGTTTTGGGCTGTTTAGCCCATGGCTTTGCCACTTGTATATGTCCATATGATACTTTCATTTTCTAGACTGGCAAGACAAAGTTACAACACTTTATTTGGTATTATTCTGTACTTTTGTATATGGTATCAATCCGTGAGGTTTAAAAGTGACGACGTCCGTACTTTAAGGCAGTGACGACGTTCATCTCCTGCACCAAAATGGCAGTAAGCGGTGACAATGTAGGGCCCCCTCTCATGGGGTAACTAAGCAGGCAAACAGCGCATCAGGAGACGTACATCATTGCACGGCTGGAGATGCTTCCCCCCCTACTGCAGGAGACGTACGTCCACAATAGGCCAACAAGGCCCAATTGCAAGGCGAACATCTTCAAGGACGGGAGATCCTTTCCCCATACTTCAGGGAGACGTAGTCCACAACAGGCCAACACGGCCCAATTGCAAGACGAACCTCTTCAAGGATTTCCCCTACTTCAGGATACGTATGTCTCCAACAGGACGGGAAGGCCAAATTGCAAGACGTACATACGGAACCCTGGCCTTGGGAGCAGGCAAGACATGGGAAACAAGATTGTGGGGACGCTCGTCGCCACCACTTGGCGGAAAAATTCAAACACATAATGAATTTTAAATTCAAGTACATCCGGGTGCGGTGTCACAGTTCGATGCAGTTGTCTATAAAGAAACCTTTTAAACATTTAGCAACAAGTCTAATGTGTTTTCAAATTATGTTTATGCTTTTGTGTAATCAGTGGTTAATCGAGCTTAATATATTGCATCACATATCAAAATTCATTATTGTAGGGAGTATAATTCTAAATTGTTGTTTTTTATTTTATTTTAAATGATTCATTTAGATTTACAAGTTTAATTTTTATTCCAAATCTGACTAAAAATATTAAACATGTGAAAAATTACCAACCGTGCATCGCACGAGTGTTCTACTTGTTCGAATAAAAACCAGTAGGGTTCCAGTTTATTTTTATTGAGTGAATTG